AACCCTAACCCTAACCCTAACCCTAACCCTAACCCTAACCCTAACCCTAACCCGTTAAATTGGACTTGCTGGTATCTTGTTGAGAATTTTTGCATTCATGTTCATCAGGGATATTGGCCTATAATTTTCCTTTTTAGTGGGGCCTTTGTCTGGTTTTGGAATCAAGGTAATGCTGGCCTTCCTTATAGAATGAGTTTGGAGTTTTCCTTCCATTTCTATTTTTTGGAGCAGTTTGAGAAGAATAAATATTAGCTCTTCTTTAAATATGTATAGAATTACCCTGGGAAGCCATCTGGCCCTAGACTTCTGTTGGGAGATTTTTGATTACTCTTTCAATTTCTTTGCTGTTTATGAGTCTGTTCAAATTTTCTATGTCTCCCGTTTTAGTTTTCGTAATTTGTGTGTTTCTAGGCTGCCTGAATTTATCAATTTCTTCTAGGTTGCCCAGGTCTTCATAATTTTTCATAATATTCCCTTACAATTGTTTATATTTCTGTGGTGTTGGTTGTGATCTCTCCCCTCTCATTAGTGATTTTATTTATTTGGGTCCTCTCTCTCTTTTCTTTTTGATAAGTCTGGCTAAGGGTTTCTCAATTTTGTTAATTCTTTAAAAAACTAGCTCTTACTTTCATTGATCTGTTCTACTGTTTTTATGTTTCTATAATGTTTATATTAGTATGTTATATATATGCTCTAGTCTTTATTATTTCCCTCTTCTGCTGGCTTTAGGCTTTATTTGCTGTTCCTTTTCTAGCTCCTTTAAGTGTAAGATTAGGTTGTGTATTTGAGACCTTTCTTGCTTCTTAAGGTAGGCCTGTATTGCAATATACTTCCCTCTTAGGATTGCATTTGCTGCATCCCAAAGGTTTTCGACTGTTGTATTTTCATTTTCATTTGCTTCTCTGTATTTTTTATTTTCTCTTTAATTTCCTGGTTAACTCATTCATTCTTTAGTAGGGTGCTCTTTAATCTGAAGTATTTGTGGTCTTTCCAAATTTTTTCTTGTGGTCGACCTCAAGTTTTATAGCATTGCTGTCTGAAAATATGCATGGTTTGATCTCAATCTTTTTGTACTTGTTGAGGGCTGATTTGTGACCCAGTATGTGATCTATTCTGGAGAATGTTCCATGTGTACTTGAGAATAATGTGTGTTCTGCTGTTTTAGGATGAAACGCTTGAATATATCTGGTTTTTTGAAAATGTTTATTTATTTTGAGAGAGACAGAGAGTGAGCATAAGCAGGGGAGGGGCAGAGAGAGAGGGAGACAGAGAATCCCAAGCAGGCTCCATGCTGCCAGTGCAAAGGCCGACTCAGGACTTGATCTCACAAATCAAGCTCCTATATATATCTGTTAAGTCCATCTGGTCCAGTGTGTCATTCAAAGCCAGTTTCCTTGCTGATTTTCTGTTTAGATGATCTGTTCATTGTTGTAAATGGGGTGTTAAAGTCCCCTACTATGATTGTTATTATTGTTAATGAGTTTCTTTACATTTGTTATTAATTGATTTATATATTTGGGTGTATCAAATCGGGAGCATAAATATTTATAACTGTTACATCTTCTTGATGGATAGAGCCCTGAATTATGATTTAATGCCCTTCATCATCTCTTGTTACAGTCTTTGGTTTAGTATCTAGTTTGTCTGATAGAAGTTTGGCTACTCTGGCTTTCTTTTGGAGTCCATTAGCATGATAGATGTTTCTCCATCCTCTCACTTTCAATCTGTTGATGTCTTTAGGTCTAAAATGAGTCTTCTGTAGGGGGCACCAGGGTGGCGTAGTCAGTTAAGCATCTGGCTCTTGGTTTGGGCTCAGGTCACGATCTCACAGTTCATGGGTTTGAGCCCCGTGTCAGGCTCTATGCTGGCAGTGCTGAGCCTGCTTGGGATTCTCTGTCTCTTCCTCTCTCTCTACCCTTTCCCCATTTGCACTCTCTCTCTCTCAAAAAGAAATAAACATTTAAAAAAAAAATAAAATAAAATAAAATAAAATGAGTCTAGTGTAGGCAGCATATAGATGGATCTTGTTTTTTTATACATTCTGACACTGTCTTCTGACTGGAGCGTTTAGTCCATTTACATTCAGAGTGATTACTGAAAGATGAGTTTAGTGCCATCGTGTTACCTTTAAAGTTGGTGTTTCTGACGATATTCTTTTTTTCTTTCTAGTCTTCATTGCTTTTGGTCTTATTTCCCCCATCCCTACCCCTCCCCCCCCCCACTCAAAGATTCCCCCTTAAAATTGCTTG